TGGTTATTCAGGAGGCTGAGATGTGAGGATCACCATTTGAAGCCTGCCCAAGCAGGAAAAGTCCCTGAGATTCTTATCTCTAACCAGCATAAAAGATGGAATTAGAGGGCTGGGAAGGTGGGTCAGTGGTAGAGCGCTTGCCTTGCATGCAGGAGGCCCTGGGTTCCATTCCTCAGCACCACATAAGCAAAAAGAAAAAAGCCAGAAGTGGCACTGTGGCTCAAGTGGTAGAGCACTAGCCTTGAGCTGAAGAGCTGAGGGACAGCGCCCAGGCCCAGAGTTCAGGCCCCACGACCGGACCAAAAAAAAAAAAAAAAAAAGATGGAATTAGAGATGTGACTCAAGTGATAAAGTCCTAGCCTTGAGTGAAAAAGCCAAGGAACAGCACCCAGGCCTTGAGTTCAAGTCCCAGCACCCACCCCCCCCCCCCCCCCACACAAATAAATAATAGTCAGGAGTCACCAATGATTAACCTTGTTTTATTTACTTTTTCTTTTTTGAGACAGTTTCACTGTTTAGCCTAAGCTAGATTTGAACTTAACTTACTATCCTTTTGCTTCAGCCTCTCCAGTATTGGTTTTACAGGTGTGTCCACCATACCCAGCTCCCAACAAGACTTCCTTCCTTTTTGCTTGCTTCCTTCCTTCCCTTCTTTCCTCCTTTCTTCCTTCTGTTCTTTCTTTCATTCTTTCTTGTAAATACAGAATGATTGATTCTAATCCATATAGGAAATCAAAGCAACTAGAAGAGCCAAAACAATTTTGGAAAAGAATAAAGTTAGAGGAATCACACTGTTGGTTTTAAAACTTACTATAAAACTACAGTAATAAAACTAAAGTAATAAAATGTGATATTGGTGGAGAGATAGATACATAATTCAGCCAAATAAAACCAAGTCCAGAAATACCCTCCATAACGTGGCTAGTTAAATTTTAACAAAGATTCAATAGCAATTTGATGGGGAAAGGGTAATCTTTTCACCAGATGGTGTTCACACAATTGGACATCTGCATTTAGGGAAAAAAATACCACAACTTCCTACCTTTTCTGGGTGCTGGTGGCTCACGCCTGTAATCCTAGCTACTTAGGAGGCTGAGATCTGAGGATCAGGGTTCAAAGCCAGCCTAGGCAGAAAAGTCCGTGAGACTCTGATCTCCAATAAAAACCACTAGAAAACTGGAAGTGGTGCTGTGGCTCAAGAGGTAGAGCACTTGCCTTGAACTGAAGAGTGCAGGGACAGCGCCCAGGCCCGGAGTTTAAGCCCCACGACTGACCGAAAAAAAAAACAAACAAACTTCCTACCTTTGACCAAAATCAATTCAAACTGGACCAGAGATAGAAAGATAAAAATGTGAAACTATAAAATTTTTAGAAGGAAACCAAAGGTCTTTGTGACCTGCAGCTGGCTTGTCATGGCTCCAGGAGCAGGAACGATGGAAGGAAAGGATCGGTAAAATGACATCATCAACACCAAAAACCTAACCAGGTACCGGTGGCACCTGTAATCCTAGCTACAGAAGGCTAAGATCTGAGGACCAAGGTTCAAAGCCAGAAAGTTTGAGATTCTTATGCTAATTAGTCACTAATTAGCCACCAAAAAGCTGGAAAATGAAATGTGGCTCAGTGGTAAAGGGCTAGGCTTGATTGGAAAAAAAAAAAAAGAAGTCAAGTTAGAGCATGAGGCCATAAGTTCAAGCCCCCATGTCAGCATCAAAACAAAAGAACACCAAAAATGTGGCACTACATAGGATACCACTACGTGAGCATCAAGGCAAGCTACAGACTTGGGTAAATATTTACAGATTGCATAGCTATCAAGGATTTTATCCAAAACATGTAGAGTTCTAAGAACTCAAAAGTTCAGCTGAGTGCTGGTGGCTCACACTTGTAATCCTAACTATTCAGGAGGCTGAGATCTGAGGATCATGTTCAAAGGCTAGCCCAGGCAGAGAAGTCTATGATGAGACTCTTTTCTCCAATTAGCCACCAGAAAACCAGAAATAGAGCTGTGGCTCAAAGTGGTAGAGTGCTCGCCTTGAGCAGAAGAGCTCAGGGACAGGCCCTGAGTTCAAACCCCAAGAGGGGGAAAAAGGTAAAGGAAAATCCCAAAGTGGGTACCAGTGATTTATGTCTGTAATCCTAGCTACTTGGGAGGTTGAGATTTTAGGATTGAGGGTCAAAGCCATCTTGTACAGGGAAAATCCTTGAGACCCTTTTTTTTTTTTTTTTGGAGAGGGGTGGTCTGGTCATGGGGCCTGAACTCTGGGCCTGGGTGCTGTCCCTCAGCTCTTCAGCTCAAGGCTAGCGCTCTACCACTTGAGCCACAGTGCCACTTCCGGCTTTTTTCTTTTTGCTTATGTGGTGCTGAGGAATCGAACCCAGGGCCTCATGCATGCGAGACAAGCGCTCTACCACTGAGCCACCTTCCCCCAGCCCCATCCTTGAGACTCTTATCTTCAGTTAACCAGCAAAAAGCTAGGAGTAGAACTTTGGCTCAAGTGGCAGAGCACTAGCTTGGAGCACTAAAACGCAACACACAGCACCCAGGTCCTGAGTTCAAGCCCCAAGACTGGCACCAAAAAGAAAATATTCCAATTAAAAAGGGGCATACACCAGACCTGTGTGCAGATAAATGCACAAGAAGATGCTCAGCATGATTAGGGAAATGGAAGTTGAAGTGAAATAAAGCATTTCCCTTAGAGTTCTAAACAGTCTAGTTGCTGCTGGGTGGGGAAGGCACCAGCCTCCAGAACTCCTGTGCGGGGATGGTGGAGATGCTCATGTTTCAGCCACTCTGGAAAACTGTCTGTGCCAGTTGGTTTCTCATGAATGGACATCATCCATTTGCAGTCCCTCCCCAAGGTAGTTACCTTAGAGAAATGAGAAGTTATATACCAGCAAAAACCTACACGAGTGTTTGCAAGCCCTGCCTGTGTGTGTATGTTTACACACTAGTGCTGGGGCTTGAACTCAGGGCCTGAGCACTATCCCTTAGCTCTTTTGTTCAAGAATAATGCTTTACAACTTGAGGAGCCACAGCTCTACTTCCAGCTTTTTGCTAGTTAATTGGAGATAAGAGTCTAATTTTCAGGGCTGGGAATGTAGCTTAGTGATAAAGTGCTTGCTTAGGATGCATGAAACCCTGTATTCAATTCCTCAGTACCATATAAACAGAAAAAAACCAGAAGTGGCTCTGTGGCTCAAGTGGTAGAGCACTAGCATTGAGCACAGAAAGGCTTAGGGACAGTGCTCAGGCCCTGAGTTCAAGCCCCAGGACTGGCAAAAAAGAAAAACGACTTTTCACTTTTCGCTTTGAACCACTATCCTCAGATCTCAGCCTCAGGAGTAGCTAGGATTACAGGTGGGAGCCACCAGTGCTTGTCTAGCTCAGCTCTCTTAATAATTACCACACCCCTGAAACAACTAGAATGTCTTCCTGGATGAACTGACAAGTGGGCTGTGCAGGTCTGTGCAGTAGAACAGAGACCTGCTCTGCAGCCGGAAGGGACCAGCTACTGGTGCGTGTGCCGCAGTGCGGGGGAATCTCAGGGGGACAATCCTGAGTAAAAGAACCTGCCTTTTGTCACACATGTGACGAGCTGGGGGGCGGGTGCCAGGAGCTGGGTAGTGAGGACTTCAGAATGGCATCAGGAGGGAGTGTTTAGGGTTGTGGGCACACCACATCCCAAGTGTGGCAGGACTCCCAGCTTCTCCAGTGTGTTCACAGCCAGGCCCCTCCCCTCCACAATGTGCTATTTTAAAAATAAACTAGACTCCCACACCCCACAGAAGTGCTCCATAAGGAAGGTGCTAAAATAGATAAATACAGCATAAAAGCAATAAAATGGAAAAACAATCCAGAAAGCAACTCCCTGGCAGTATATATAAAGTAACAAAATGAAGTTGGCCACATTTTTATCATGTCTGCTTGTAGAAGCCTGCAGCAGCGGTTTTCACATGCTTTTTTTTTTTTTTTTTTATTCTTAGACCATTACTGGTAATTTGTAAGAAATTGTGCACAATAGTGGTGTTCATTTAAGACTTCAATAAAGCTTTCCATACACATTTTAACGAGTGGCTTTGAAATTGGACTTTGATTCTCCCAACCATTGAATCTACTGTAGCTGTACAGTGGAACCCTGACTTCCTCATGAGCAGGCCCAGTGCTCAGGTGAGGGAGGGTGGGCCCGGCCTGGGCCTTGCTGCAGTCAGACCGTGGTGAGGCAAATGCAGGTGCTCAGGAACACTTAGTAAATTCAGTCAGTATGTCGGGGCCTACTCAAGTGTATGCTGCTTATGTGTTTGAGATGCCACAGTGATGGTGCTTGGCAGCCTGATTTGAGAAAGAGCAGGAGTCAGATGAAGGCAGGCAGGAGAGATGAAGCTCTTGAGGCCCAGAGAACTCTTAGGTTTGTAGGCAAGGAGAAACTTGAGTGTCCATGTGTGGGACCAAGCAGGTGCCCACCAGGCCGCAAGCGTCACTGGGAAGTACGTAGCAGGGGAGATGGGAAGGCCCAGTGCCAGGGAGAGATGGAGACCAGCTTGCAAGGTGCAGTTTCTCAAGACTTTGTCCTAACCATCCTCCTGAAACCATGAAGGGAGCTATTTATGATGCAGACACCCCTGGCTGCGCCTGGTCTGATGCTCTGTGGGCAGACTGCGAACTGCAAACAGTGTCCCAGGCCTACCTCGCTTGTGACAGAACCTCTGTGAGGAGTGCGTGCAAAAAACTTCCCGCAAGGGCTTTGCTTCATTTGTGTTTTGCTTGTGTTTCACAACCCAGATCCATCCTGGAAACCACGTGTTGGAACCCTGATTTTTAGGGGGAGAGGGGGTCCCCAGGAACCATTTGTAGATTGTCCATAAAGACAGGAAAGCCTTCTGCAGGTATTTCTTTGTACAAGGATCGTTGCTTTCAGAAAGGAATAGAACCCTTTGGTTCAGGTGAGTGGGGGAGGGAGGTGGCACTTCATGGTTTCCTGGCGTTCTCCCCGCCCCAGGAGCAGCAGGCAAGCTGGACAGATGACCTGCCGCCTTGCCACCTCTCTGGCGTTGGCTCAGCTTCCAACCGTAGCTACTCCTCCGATGGCAAGGGCATCGAAAGTCACCCTCTGGAGGACAACTGGCTCAAGTTCAGGTATGCCTGTAGTGGAGGTTTGCAAGCAAGACACCATTGGGTGTGGGGCTTGCCCTAAATGTGGCCCTTGGCAGCCAGCCTCTGCTGTGGTACCTTCCCCATCTTGTGGAGGGCCTGCTCGGGGCATGGGGAAGAGGGAAGGCAGAAGGTCGTGGGCACCATGAAATAATAGCCAAAGTAGGGGACCTATGTGGGGAGCTGAAGTCTTTGTCTTTAGTCTCCCCCAGTTCCTTTCTTCCCCATCCAAGGTCCTGGTGTTAGGTCTCCTTTCACCCTCCCTCTACCAGGAGTGAGAACAATTGCTTCCTGTATGGCGTCTTCAACGGCTACGATGGCAACCGGGTGACCAACTTTGTGGCCCAGCGGCTATCGGCAGAGCTCCTGCTGGGCCAGCTCAATGCTGAGCATACCGAGGCCGACGTGCGGCGGGTGCTGCTGCAGGTAGGAGCTCCAGGTAGCTGCTGTCACCCAGCTGACTTGCGTGACAACCCACCTGGGCCCTGGGCCTTGTCGCTATGAATGTACCTAGGGTTGGTCCACAACCCACTAGCTTCTTTCCCCCTGCTGAGGAGCAGATCTGGGGGTAGCCCCTGGTACAGGAGCGCCCTCATCCATCCCTAGGAGCTGAAGGCCTTGCATGGAGTAGCGGTCCTGTAGGGCTGGCAGTCTGGCTCTGGAGGAGATGCTGCTGCAGAGGGAGGGAGGCCTGGTAGAGACCAGGGTCTTCAGAGCAGCCCCCTCATCTGAGTGAGTCAGGTGCAGCCTCTAGCTGCTGCATATGGCCAGGAAGGAGCTCCCCTCCCCAACTCCCAGCTGTGTTCTTGCTGGCCAGCAGCCTCGCTGCCCGCTGTCATGTTGGAGTTTTCCTCCTGTGTCTCCATTTCCAAGCCCATGAAGATGGCCCGGCCTTTTCTTGTCCTCTTGGGACTCTGGGCTTCTGTGCAGTGACTTGAGTACCCACACCTTGGAGAAGGGGTCAGCATCATGGTAAAGCAGGACCTGGCAGGGCTTGACAGAAGCCTTCAGGAAGAGACCACTGTGCTCCATTGACCTAGCACTGCCCAGAGCCAGTGCTGAGCCGAGGGCTGCCTGCTTGGGGCTGAGCCACTCTGATGCCAAGCCCAGGCTCTGCTCTGGGCTCTTAAGTCCCTTTGGGTGCTGCCTGAGCAGTACCTCTGCCCCTGATGTGCAAGAAGCCCCAGAGCTGATGGGTGTGGCACTGGGTCCCATGAGCACGGCTGTGGAGGCAGTGACCTGCCGCGCTCTCCCAGGGCATTCCAATGTGAGGTGACCGGTGGCTGAGCCGGCCTTGGCCTCGTCTTGTGTCCTGCAGGCCTTCGATGTGGTGGAGAGGAGCTTCCTGGAGTCCATCGATGATGCGCTGGCTGAGAAGGCGAGCCTCCAATCCCAGCTACCAGAGGTAACCTCCCCACCTGCATGGGCCCAGATGTCACGGCCTAGCTCTGCCGGAAGCCAGCTCACCTGCCATGGTCACTCACCAAGCATGGACCCAGCAGAGCCAAGGAATCGTGGGAGCCAATGGGCCTGTGCTTGAGAGGCTCCTGTGGCCTGCTGTGCATGGGACAGCTTTCCCTGAGGCTCAGCTTTAGCTTTCAGTGATGGGAGGGAGGTCAGGCCTTTCCAGTCCTGTGGTCCCAGGCTGCAGCCTCATCACTTGCCAGCAGCTTCAGGCTGCCCCTGTGTTAGGGCTTGTGGGCTTTCCTGAGCAGGCCTTCATCCTGGCCATGCCACGGCCATCTGTCTGTCCTCTGGGCCTTCACATCCCTACTCCCATCTGGAGCACCTGCCTGCCTGACCCCTCTGTTGATGGATGCAGGGTGTGCCCCAGCACCAGCTGCCTCCTCAATATCAGAAGATACTGGAGAGACTCAAGGTGCTGGAGAGGGAGATCTCAGGAGGCGCCATGGCCGTCGTGGCAGTTCTTCTCAACAACAGGCTCTACGTGGCCAACGTTGGTGAGCCGCCCACTGTCCCAGGCCCGGGGAGGGGAGGAGGGGGGAGACTGGGCTTGGAGCCCTCTCTAGTGGGCTGCATTCTAGACACAGAACCTCAGATGCAGAGTGTCCTGCAGCCACTGGACATATGCCCTCATTCCAGCCACACCATCAAGAAGGAGGATGGCCTGGATGGAGCAGGCATCCTGGCTTTTGGCCTCACTCTGCCACTAACTGGCTTGTAGCCTAGGGTGAGCCACAGTCTGGCTCTGAAGTGGCCTCCAGAAGAGGTTATGTGGTGCGAATACCCAGTCAGCATCCCCCAGCAGTGAGCTGGGAGAACTGAGCATCTGACTAATGGGAAAAGGAGGGGCTGTCTGGGAAGCAGAAAAGAATGTAGAGCATGCAGGTTCCTACTGTGGGGACTGCAGAGACCTCTTATGCACCCCTCTGTCTTCCTCCATTCCTTAGCAATTTGTTAGACAGCAACTTTCAAACCAAAACGAAATTAGTACTTAGTGGACCACCATGTCCCATCCAATCCAGCTACCTTGTAGCTGGTTCTATTCCATCTATTGCCCTTCATCCCCAAATTTTTGTGAAGCAAACCCTAGACATTGTGGTGCGGTCACCTCCAGAGTAGAGATACCTCTACCCTAGTACTCTTAGTACATGCATGATCCTGTGATTGTCACCAATGACCCCCAACTGGTAGGTCACCCCTGGTCTAGCCTTGGCCTTTCCTGCAGCCTGTGTGAGAAGCCTGCCCTCCCCCCTTCTCTCAGGGGTCCCCTCCTCTCCCAGGGGCCTCCGCCTCCTCCTGCATAGTCTTTGCCTAGCTGCTCAAACTGTGCTGCAGGCACGAACCGGGCACTCCTGTGCAAGTCCACAGCGGATGGGTTGCAGGTGACCCAGCTGAACATGGACCATACCACAGAGAACGAGGATGAGCTCTTCCGCCTTTCCCAGCTGGGTGAGCAGAGGATGCCGGGCTGGGGGGTCAGTGTGAGGGGACTGACCCCTGCACCCCTCATGCGCTCTCCTTTGCTGGCCAGGGAGAGGGGTGGAAGGGCTGGGTGCTTCAGTCTGTGGCCAGTCTGCCTGGGGTGCATGGAGTGGGCGTGGCCTGGGGAAGGGGATGTTCTTAGGACACTGGGGTGCTGGGTAGCTGCTCACCATGTCACCCTGCTGTTACCTCCCTTTCCTCCTCCTTGTTGACCTGGCATGTTTCACTCTCTCTCTCTTTCACTCTCTCGCTCTCTCTCTCTTTTTTTTTCCTAAATTTGTCATGAACCAGGGATGGTTCTACAGGAATGCCTGTTCTGTCTCTCCCTGGTAGGTTTGGACGCAGGAAAGATCAAGCAGGTGGGGGTCATCTGTGGGCAGGAGAGCACCAGGCGCATCGGGGATTACAAGGTCAAATATGGCTACACTGACATAGACCTGCTCAGGTGGGTGGCCAGCCAGCAGCCCACAGAGGCTGGGGCCAGAAGCTGATCTCAGGCCGCAGAGGGAGGGGTTATTGAGGCTCAGGGAGACACTTTTCCTCCCCCCAGGTTAGCAGGTATGCAGTGGGGCCTGGGTGAGCAGGCAAGGAGTTGGGTCCCATGGTGCTAGGCTGGCAAGGGGTCAAGAAGGAAGCTGGGCCAAAGCCAGGGCAAGCAGCAGTGTCACAGGACCTGGCAGAGCAAGCAGGAGGTTGCATGAAGAGCTGGCGTGTATAGGTATGGGAAGACCACCAGCCTGTTGGTTACTGCTGCCCGCGGCCAGAGGCATGCAGAGGTGTGAGATGAGTGACCTGCCTTCCTGCGGGGACGCTGCCCTCTGTGGTGATACCCAGCTCGTGGCAGTGACAGACCTGCTGAGCCTTTGTTGCAGCCAGCCTACACCGCTCCTTACACACAGCCTTCTGTTCTCCACTTGCTCAGACCCTCAGATATGTTCCTGAGTGGAAACTGAGGCATGGAGACATCAGGTAGCCTGCCTGGTGATAGGCCTGGTGATGGACCAACGCAGGACTTGACCTCAGGCAGCCTGAATTTGGAGCATGTGTCCTTCATGGCTGGCTAACCTGTGTAGGAAACACTGGCACTTGGGTGATGCCAGCCACAGCTTTTATGTGGCAGGGCCGTAGGAACCTCACCAAAGACCCCGTCAGCAAGGGCCAGACCTCCTCACCTGCGCCTCCCAGGATTTATGCAGTTTGGAACCTTTGTCATTAATTTATAGGGTTTTCTTTGCTCTGTTGAAGGCCTGTGTGTGAAGGGCTCAGGGCAGGGCAGTGACGGCAAGTCTTCCATCCGTGCAACGCAGGAGACCCTGCTGAGGCCGCCAGTTTCTCATGTGTGTCTGCACATGCGAACGTGCACACAGGTGCCTCTGGGTGTTTTCTGGGAGCTAAGGATGACAGCAGCCCCCTGAAATACCCACAGAAACACCCTGTACACACTCCCAGGAGTGTGCCCCCTTACCTTTCTTCCTTAACTACCTTATTACAGTCTGAGTGATGTACTCAGGTCCATACTTCCTGTGTGCAGCTCGGAGGCCGGAGCTAAGGTCACGTCCCCCTCTGTTCACACAAGCGATGCCCCTCACACACCTGCACACCTGCACCTGAGTGCAGCCTCTGGGATTCCAGCACCTGGTGGGCCTGGACAGCCCAGCCCTCGGCATGTGTCCACTTTGTCCTCTGAGTGTTGTGTCAGGATTGTCCTCGGGCCCATGTACATGTGCTCCAGATTTGCAGGTTAGCAAATGGCGTCTCTGCACATGGTCTATTTGTGGCTTGAGCTGTATAGACACCTGTGAGTGGGCTTGCTTGCTTTTTTTTTTTTTTGACAGTCGGGTTTGAACTCAGGGCTGTGGGTTTGCTTGGCTTGATTCCTCAGCAAGCACTTTACCACCTTCAGAGAGGAGTGGGCTTTTCCATGGCCTCCTCTCTTGCTGTTCTGCCCTGCCCTGCCCTGCCAGGCTCTATAGACAGGAGACACCAAACAAGGCTGGAGTCTGATATTTGACCTTGGCCATCTGAACCCCAGAGCACACCAGCTCTCCTGGCCCTTTTTTTATTCCAACACTGCCCTCAGGTCTGCTCTGATTTTCTCTTTCTTTTCCACTTACCAAGTCAGTGTTTTATTGTACATTCTGGGTGTAGCTTCTCCCCCCAGCAGAAGCAGCCTCCACCTGGTGGTCTGTCCACACCAAGCCCTCCCTCCCCTCTCCCACAGTGCTGCCAAGTCCAAACCTATCATCGCTGAGCCAGAGATCCACGGTGCACAGCCACTGGACGGGGTGACCGGCTTCCTGGTGCTGATGTCCGAAGGACTCTACAAGGCCCTGGAGGCAGCCCATGGGCCTGGCCAGGCCAACCAGGTGAGCCACACACTGCACAGGTGGCCAGGCGCTCTCCTCACAAGCTGTCAGACATCTTTCCAGAGGTCAGAGGTGGGGAAGGAAAAGCTCAGAGCTCTGAAGACATTGCTCCTGCCCAAAGCAGTACTCATTTCACTGTTCAGCACAAGTGCTGAGGAGGAGGGAGAGGGAGAGACTCCACTCAGATTGTTCTGGGCTGAGGGGGAGAGCCCAGGAAGGGCTGCAGCCTGCTGCACAGAGCTGGGCTCAGGTATCAGGCCTCCCTGCCGCAGCCTCAGGAGGCCTCTCTTCAGTGAGCGGCAGAGTCCCTCACCTCTGCAGCGAGGAGGGCTGTGCTCCTGTGGAGGCCTGTGCAGTGGGGAAGGCCATGCTCCCATGGGGACTGTGCTGAGGTCAGGCACAGGAAATGGAGCTGTTGAGTCAGGGAGAAAAGACATGTTTCTCGCACAACGTGGCGCACAGGTGGCGAGCAGTCGTCACTGAAGTATGACTTCCAGGCTGGTCTCAAAGTCATGTGCTGGGAACACAGGTGTGCGCTGCCATGCCTGCCTCTGATCATCTCTTTTTCCTTTCTGGGCAGCACTGGGGATTGAACTCTGGGCCTTGCATTTGCTGAGCAAGTGTTCTGCACTTGAGCCCACGTTATTTTGCCTTTAGTTTGTGTTTAGATAGGATTTTGTATTTTTGTCCAGGCTGACATCTACCTTCAGTCTTTTTTTTCTTGTCAGTCATGGGGCTTGAACTCTGGGCCTGGGTGCTGTCCCTGAGCTCTTCAGTTCAACGTGAGCACTCTACCACTTGAGCCACAGTGCCACTTCCGGTTTTCTGGTGATTCATTGGAGATAAGAGTCTTATGAACTTTCCTGCCTGGGGTTGGCTTTGAACCATGATCCTCAGATCTCAGCCTCCCGAGTAGCTAGGATTACGGGCCTGAGCCCAACTACCCTCAGTCTTATTATTTCTTCCTCCCAAGCAGCTGGAATTACAGACATGAGCCACTGTGCCCAACTCTAATTCATCCTCTTCAACAAAGAAAGTGTAGCTATCTCCCGATTCCCTGTGTTCAAGGGTTTTCACCGTTTTCTTATTCATCCCAGCAACTTTGTGGCACAGAAGGACCAGTGGCTTACTAAAGCAGGGAACTCGGGTGGGGCTCAGCTCCCAGGGTTCTGTCTGAGGTCACGGTGGGACGGTGGAGCTGAGCCTGGCTCCCCGTCCGGTCCCTTCCCCTCACCTGTCTCTGCCCTCTGCCTCTACGAGCCGTAGCCAGTCCTCGCGTAAAGAACTGTGGTTTTCTTTTTTTCTTTCTTTCTTTCTTTGGTGCCACGTATCCAGTGGCATCTCCCAGGTTCTAGAACATGATGTCTTCATTCTGCATTCTCAGGTTCTGACAATACCTTGCATGTTGTAGCCTTCAGCAAGTTTGTGTGAGAAGGAATGCTTGATGCTGGCCATTCACATGGCCCTTCTTAGCAGTCTACAGACTGCTCAGATTCGTGCACTATGTAACTCTTGTATTAACCCAGGGAAGTGATCCATTTAGAGATATGGAAGCCAACTTTTCTAACTTGAAAGTTCCAGAAAGATTATCCTAAAGGTCTTGAAAAGCTCAGATTACATGTTGGCTGGTAGGGACTTCCTTCACCTGCTGGGTTTGTGACCCCCTAAATCAACAGGACCCTGGGATTATGGGTCCCCCTTCCCAAGGCCACTCCTCACTTCTCACCAGCTCCTTGGTTCCACCCCCAGGAGATCGCCGCAATGATTGACACTGAGTTTGCCAAGCAGACCTCTCTGGATGCAGTGGCCCAGGCCGTGGTGGACCGGGTGAAGCGTATCCATGGTGACACCTTTGCCAGTGGGGGGGAGCGTGCCAAGTTCTGCCCACGGCACGAAGACATGACCTTGTTGGTGAGGAACTTCGGCTACCCACTGGGAGAGATGAGCCAGCCCACACCCACCCCAGCCCCAGGTGGGTGAGCCACAAAGTGGTAGCCTCACTGCTTGGCATCTGTGAAGCAGGAGGCCCAGCTTTGAGTGGTTCTGACCTGACGCTTTGGTTTGCCAACTCTGCGCTGTCTGTATAATGAGAATGGTAGCACTTCCCTGCCATCTTTTGAAGATCTGCCACATGAGTACACAGTGCAGGCCACAAGTCACAGACAGATGATCAGGCCCCGAGGCCTGGCTCTGGCCACAGTGGACTGGGCACATACTTTATTTTTTCTTTTCTTTTTCTTTTTTTTTTGCCAGTCATGGGGCTTGAACTCAGAGCCTGAGTACTGTCCCTAAGTTCTTTGGCTCAATGCTAGTGCTTTAGCCCTTTGAGCCACAGCACCACTTCCAGTTTCCTGGTGTTTAATTGGAGCTAAGAGTCTCATGGACTTTCCTGCCTGGGCTGGCTTTGAACTATGATCCTCAGATCTCAGCCTTCTGAGCTGAGTTGATAGGATTACAGGAATGAGCCAGGTGCCTAGCAGTACTTTACTTTCTTACTTTCTCCTCTTTTTTTCTCTTTCTTTCCTTTCTTTCTATCTCTGTCTCCTCACTCCCTCTTTCTCTCTCTCACCCTCTCCCCTCTGCTCTCTCTTTTTTTTTTTTTTGGTCAGTCCTGGGACTTGAATTCAGGGCCTGGGCACTGTCCCTGAGCTTCTTTTTGCTCAAGGCTAGCACTCTACCACTTGAGCCACAGTACCACTTCAGACTTTTTCTGTGTATGTGGTACTGAGGAATCAAACCCAGGGCTTCATGCATGCTAGGCAAGCGCGCTACCACTAAGCCACATTCTCAGCCCCTCCTTTCCCTTTTTTTTTTTTTTTTTGGGTCCGGTCATGGGGCCTGAACTCTGGGCCTGGGAGCTGTCCCTCAGCTCTTCAGCTCAAGGCTAACGCTTTACCACTTGAGCCACAGCGCCACTTCCAGCTTTTTGCTTTTGCTTATGGGGTGCTGAGGAATCGAACCCAGGGCCTCATATATGCAAAGCAAGTGCTCTACCATTGAGCCACCTTCCCAGCCCCCCCCCCCCTTTCCTTTTTTAAAGAAGCAAATCTTAGAACTTGAACTTAGTGGCTGGGTGTGTTCCACCAGACCCCAGGGTTGCTGGCATTTCTCTGGCTTTTTATTGCAGCCGTATTTTTATTGGGTTAGCCTCAGCAAGGAGCAGACTTCTGTGGACTAAGCCGTCAGGGGAAGCTGGGCCGTTACCCACCCTGCCTCAGCACAGCTTCCGTACTGAAGGGAGGGCTCTGCTCCTGCGCTGCTCCCTGGATCCAGGGCCCCTTGGGGACTCGGGGAGCCTCCCAGTCTACAACCCCTCAGCCCAGAGAAGCAATGTCCCTGTGCCTCTTTCCTCTTCCCACCCCCTCCTCCTACCCACCGCTGTCTTCCTCCCACAGCTGCAGGGGGCCGTGTGTACCCCGTGTCCGTGCCCTACTCCAGTGCCCAGAGCACCAGCAAGACCAGTGTCACCCTGTCCCTCGTCATGCCGTCCCAAGGCCAAATGGTCAACGGGGCCCACAGCGCTTCCACCCTGGATGAAGCCACTCCCACCCTCACCAAGTAAGCCAAGGCGCTGCCCTGTGCCCGCCGTGCTGGACCTTTCCAGCCCCGCCCCTCCCCCCCCTCCCGGGGCAGCATAGATGGTTGCTGGTAAAGCTGGACCTGGGTGGCCCAGGAGGGCTGGAGGGGACAGTCCACCATCCACTGGGTCAGGCCACATCCTTGCTGTGGACCTTGCTTTGTGCAGGTTCTCTTGTTCTTTTCTCCCATGTGGGAGTGTGTAGCCTAGGCTAGACCTCTCCATGGACTCTGTGTTGGGACCTCTGGGGCTGCCGGGGACCATTGCCCCTGCCCTGCTTCTCCCACCACTGCTCCCCCAAGGGTCCATGCGGGTTTCAGCTTTGAAAGGTTTGTCTAGTTTAGGGGGAGGGGTCATTCGTGAAGTGGGGATGGGGTTGGGCAGGAGCGGCCCCTCCCTATAGACCTGTGGGACAGGTCTGTTGCCAGCACCCCTTGGGGGGCGGGAAGGGATCTGGTTTCCATATTACAGCCCTGCAGGGGTAACAGATCCCACACCCAGCCCATCAGGATGGAGCAGGCAGGATGTGGCCAATTAGAAGGGCCTTGTTTGCCTCGGCCTGCCCCGGGCCTGCCTTCTGCCCACAAGATCTGCTGTTAACATTGTGGCAGGAAGAGTCTGCCAGGCAGCCGGGAGTCCCAGAGCTGCGGGCAGCTCGAGCAATCCTTGAACGGGGTCAGCCTGTCCTCTCCTCGCCCCACCCCCACCCCAGGAAGCCACCAGCTGCGTCCACACAGCTGATCACTGTGGCCCACGGAGGAGCTAGCATCCTCCGCCTCACTCCCTGGGCCTCCAAGGCCTCTGCCCTCCCCAGTTAGGTCCCATGCGGGCCAGCCTGAGCTGGTGCTGTGCGTGCTGGGAACTGGCAGGCAGCAGCTGTTGTGCACCCAGTCTATAAGAGGCAGAAAGTTTCCTGGAATAGGGGTCCTGCCTGCCTGTGCTCCAAGGCTGAGATTGGAGTGGCTCAGAGCCTCAGTAGAACTTTCCCTAACAGAGGAAGGTCACCATGCATGGCTGCTCAGCCCTGACGCCATGTGAGTCTTCCATTTACCCTCTGTCAGCTTAAAGAGCTGTATATAGCCAGTGCTGAAATACTCTTTTTTTTTTTTTTTGGGGGGGGGGGGGCGGGGGTCCAGTTGTGGGCCTGAACTCTGGGCCTGGGCGCTGTCCCTCAGCTCTTCAGCTCAAGGCTAACATTCTACCACTTGAGCCACAGCGCCACTTCTGGCTTTTTCTTTTTGCTTATATGGTGCTGAGGAATCGAACCCAGGGCCTCGTGCATGCAAGGCAAGCGCTCTACCACTGAGCCACCTTCCCAGCCCCCTGAAATACTCTTGAAGGCTTGGCATAATGACACCTGCCTGCAATCCCAGCACTCAGGCTGAAGCAGGAGGATCCTGAGCTCATGGCCACCAGACAATATAGCGAGACCCTGTCTCTGAAAACCAAAACAGAAAAGGAATGCATTTGACAGTTTTGGTGTCCCTCAGAACATCTGGTTGGCTCTTATGGCCATCTTTGATAGGCAGGCCTGCGGCCCACCGGAGGTTGGGGCTCTGTCTGCAGGCTGGGAGCTAAAGTGCCCTGCCTCAGTTGTCCCGCTGACTCCCTTCCCTCCTTCTGCAGCCAGAGCCCGACCCTGACCCTGCAGTCCACCAATACACACACGCAGAGCAGCAGCTCCAGCTCCGACGGGGGCCTCTTCCGCTCCCGGCCCGCCCACTCGCTCCCACCAGGCGAGGATGGCCGAGTGGAGCCCTACGTGGACTTTGCTGAGTTTTACCGCCTCTGGAGTGTGGACCATGGTGAGCAGAGCGTGACGACAGCGCCATAGGCCTGGGCAAGGAGCGCAGCCTCGCCGGTCCACGCGTGGGGTGCGTGGGGACGGCCTTGTGCTGGGGGCCAGTGGACACCTCCACGTCGTGCACCAGGCTCTGGCCCACGGCACTGCAGGCTGTGGAGCTCACGGGTACAAACTTTGTGGCGGGTGTGCACCTGGCCACCACATAGGCTGGTGGCTGGGTTCGCTGGGCAGCCCCAGCCAGGACCATAGCTGTCCCTCAGAGCAGGGTCCAAGCATAGGCGCTGTGGCGACACAGTGGGACGGGGTCTTGCGGACCCACGGTGCCTCCGGCCAGATGGAATGCTTGCTCGAGGCCACCCCCAGAATAGCCCCTGGACACCACTAGTACCCTTCGTCTCTGACCGTGTCCCCCGCCTCTCGGCTTGCGGTCCCCGTGTCCCTGGGATGGCCACAGGAGCAGCTTAGGTGTGGCTGAAGAAGCACGAGGCTGGAGCCGCCAGAACAGAGCGCCGGTGGCTGGGCGTCCCCAGGGGCGCAGGAGGTGAGCTGCCTCCCCAGCCGCTCTTCTGCCGGCCCCGCGCTGCATCCTCCGTGCTGCTGCTGGGGAGCCCCAGTATCGAGCGGCTGAGGGTGAGGTTGGACTGCTTCTGGATGGCAGCCAGAGGTGACAGTCTGGGCTGGGGGCCTGGCTGAGAGAAAAGACTGGGCAGTGGCTGTGAGGGAAGAGGATCCTTGGAGTCCTGGCCAGAGCAAAGCCCAGGAAGACAAGGCTTTAGGGGTGTGCATGATATTTCCAAATAGGGAGGGAGGGACGGGCCAGCCAGGCCCTGAGCTAGATCACTGGCAGGCTCCGCCTTGGTGGGGTCCACAGAGGAGGCAGCGGCCGCTGCCTGCCCTTGTCCAGAGCTCTAGCCTGTGGCCTTGGTGTGGCGTGTGGTTCACAGGTGCTGCCCTCCCTTCCCCCCAGCCCCCAGCCCCACAGTGAGGGCACAGCCGCAGGCAGTCAGGCCACAGTGTTGTCCTTGCTGTCTGTAAAGCCAAAGGCCAGTTCCAGAGCCCCCTGCCCGCTCTGGCCAGGAGTCTGAGTCCCTGCAGCAGAGCCTGCCCCACACAGTACTGGGGACACTGCCACCGAAGAAGCAGAGAGAAAACGGGGATGACAGCCACCCGCCCTGGCTGCCCTCCCCTGGGAAGCCATCTCTGCTGGCCCGCAGATTTTGGGAACATGGGACTGTCTCAGGAATGTCTGGGGAATGCCTGGTGCTCTTACTCTAGAAATGGAATCATGTTTGTTGTTAATGCAATAAGGAAGCACGTGGTGTTCTCCGCCATCCTGTCTCCTGTGTGCCTGGGAAGCCTCTGACTGCTGCTCGGTTGGGGAGTTAAAGAGCCAGCCTGGCCAGGGTGCTGAGATTTGAACCCAGGGCTTCTGGGGTGTCTGCACTGCTGTCCTGGCCATGGAGGGGGAGCACAGGCCTACGAGGCTACTACACCACCCCACCCCTAGATCTGGGCCTGAAGACAGCGGGGTGACTGCCCAGGGCTTGGGTCACCAGGGCAGGGGCCCCCACCTCTCACCAGCCAGTTGGCTGTGTTTGGGTGAAGGATGTTCCCACAAATACTAGTGCACACATGCCACTTCCTGCCCTTTGGGACAGAGCTCGGCCCTGTTCAAGAAGAGTTTGCGACAAGCAGAAGGCTGTGTACTCAGGAACAAAGCCAAGCTCTGTCTGGTTAGAGGGTCCCCACGCTCCCGCCCCTTGGCTGAGCATAGGCCTCCCCCTGCAAAGCCTCCTTCAGAGCTGCCCCTCCTCAGCTCCCTCAGCCAAACCCTGGGTGTCCTGATGACCTGAGGTCAGCCTCGGCACCCTGCCACACCATTCTGTGAGTGACAGACAGGCTTCCATGGTGCTGGTCACAGCTGGCCACTGCCCTGGCCCTGGGCCTTCTCCATCAACTGCTCTGCCCTAGGTTTGTGGGGCTTTAGCATTACCTTGTAGTCTGTGTCCCCAGGCCCTGGCCTGTCTCCTGGGGGCACATGAAGGGCCCCACTTCCGAGAGTCAGAGGATATAGAGATGGAGACCACATAAGATGCCACTTTAGCCAGCACTGTGCCACAGACACCTCGCTGCCCCGTGCCTAGCTCTCTGACACATGGTGGGGGGGGCAAGATGGCTGACCCTGGGCAGGGGTCCTTCCCAGCCCCCAGCACCTCCCTCACCTCAGTGGGGTCAGCACTCGCTTTCCTGAGGCTGGCGCAGATAACGGAAGGCTGCAGCTGGCCGGTGAGGACAGCCTGTCATCAGCACTCAGCCCAGGTTTGACCGAGGTACCGGCCTGGAGCAGACCAGATGGAGCCAGTCCCTTGGCGCTGCTCCACGGCTCAAGCAGGCGGGAGGGAGGCCTGGAACATCCTCAGCCGTCACCAGCCTGCCTCTGTTTTTGTCCCACCTGGAGAGGGAGACAGCCCCCCCCCCAGAGACCCTTGTGGATGATATTCCCCCTGAAGGACACCCTCAGAGATGACAGAACCCCCTCCCCCAGGAGAGAGCTCCTCTCGTCCCCTGGGTCAGGCCTGTGGCGCCACCCTACCACCTCTGCTCACCTCTGGTAAGGTGCGCACTGCCAGGCTTGCTCCTTTCCCCGAGTGCTTTCTGTGACTGCAGGGTGTCCCTTACCCAGTGGACCTGGCCCCCAGATCAGCATCACGCCTCTGCCCCTCCCACAAATGAGTGGCTCCAGGAGGGAGGGCTGGCTGTGGGACGCTGGCTCATCTAGCAGTCTTGCGTGTCGGAGTCCGCAGGTGTGGGAGGCAAAGGCCCCCCAAGCCCTGTCCATGTGCAGGCCAGCACTGGAATGAGACACAACGTTAGCTAAGACCCCCTTGCCTGCGTGCTGCGCCCACACTCATGCCCATGGAGGCCCAGCCGGGTGCTCAGCCAGGTCCCCTTTGGCTTCCGTGAGACCCAGAGATGGGCAGTGGGTGTAATTCTTGCCTCCTCCCAGCAAAGCTCAGATGGAGGCCCTTGGCCAGGCTCCCAAGTGTTTCCTCTCACACACAGTCTCAGATTCTTCCTTCCAGTCCCCAGCTGTGAAACCAAACTAGAACATCTCCCTGCCAGTCCCCATGAGCATGCCATGCGCATGCCCTTCCACTCAAAGGTGACGCCAGCCCCAGACAGACACTTGACATTTCCAGGAACCCGGGTGGCCTCGAGGACAGACTGTCTGCAGCGGCGTTGAATGTTGGTGCGGGCTTGTGCATTCTGTTGCTGCCCTTGGAGCTCCCTGGAGGGGCTGGAAGACCCAGGCTGTGTGGAGTACTTGTCTGACCAAGTCTTCTCCTTGTTTTGAGTCACAGGGGCCCTGGACAGCCCAGGCCTTTATTTTTGAAGAAGAGGATTGTGTGGTCCAATCCATATTAATCCCTATGCTAATTGTAACACAAAGGTAGCATAGGTTATATGTTTTCCCCCAAAAGTAATACTTTAAAATTATTCCTCATCCAATAGATAGATGTGTCAAAAGCATTATGCTGGGCTGGGAATGTGGCTCAGTGGTAGAATGCTTGCCTCATACGCATGAGGCCCTGGGTTCAATTCCTCAGCATCACCTAAGCAGAAAAAGCCAGAAGTGGTGCTGTGGCTCAAGTGGTAGAGCTTCAGGTCCCACAACCAACACACACACACACAAAAGCATCATGTTAACCCTGGGAACCCCAGACTGCAGAGACCAGATGATGTTTTTGTTGTTGGTAGTGGTGATCAGGAGGCTTGAACTCTGGGCCTGGGCTCTGTCCCTGAGTTCTTCAACTCAAGGCAAGCACTTCACCACTTAAGCCACAGCACCACTTCCAGTTTTCTGGTGGTTTATTGGCGATGAGAATCTCACAGATGTTCCTGCCCGGGCTGGCTTTGAACCACGATCCTCAGATCGCAGCCTCCTTAGTAGCTAGGATCACAGGCGTGAGCCACCAGTACTGGGACAGCCCAAGTGATCATAATCAAATGTTTCTGCTATGAGCCGTGTGCCTAGCCCACGTCATGGAGCCAGGCTAGGATCAGGAGATGGTCAGCCTAGTGTCAGAAGGGTGGCCTCACAGCCCGCCATGAATGTTGGAAGGGGCTGTCTGTGGGTGGTGAGGAGCCTTCTGCCATCTGGGCCATGAGTACCTGCTTACCAGCTGAGTGGTGGGGAGAGATCTCTGCTAGTCCCAGCCTGGCTATACAGCCCAGCCCTTTTGCAGTGAAGAAGGAGTGGTTATAAGTTTTTGGTTTTAGCAGTGTTAGAGTTTGATCTCAGGCTTTTAACTTGTTAGTAGGCCCTCTACTGTTGGAGTCATGCTCTAGCCCTTGATTTGCTCTAATGTTTTTGCTTGGGCTGGTCTGGACTACCATCATTCTATTTGTGATTCCCATCATAGTTGGCATGACAGGTGTGTGCCACCACATCAAGCTTTTGCTGTTGAGATAGGATCTCTCATGCACTTTTTACCTGAGCTGACCTTAAGCTGTCATCCTCCAGATCGCAGCCTCCCAACAAGCTAGGAATACATGCATGAGCTACAGCACTCATATAAACAGCTATTATCTGATGGTCTTTGTGCGATGCTTAGACTGATACAAATTATGTCTTCATAGCCGGAAGTATAAGCTTTGCATATAATTTTGCACATTTTCCAAAAACTATATGTTGGAAACATGTTTCTGTGTTATTGGGAAAAAAACTTGAATGTAACAACAATATAAAGAATGTATTAAGGGGCTGGGAAGTTGGCTCAGTGGTAGAGTGCTTGCCTCACACACATGAAGCCCTGGGTTCGATTCCTCAGCACCACATAAGCAGAAAAAAGCTGGAAGTGGTGCTGTGGCTCAAGTGGTAGGGTACTAGCCTTGAGCTGAAGAGCTGAGGTACAATACCCAGGCCCAGAGTTCAGGCCCCATGACTAACAAAAAGAAAAAGAATGTATCAAGCTGGGCACTGGTGGCTCATACGTATAATCCTAGCTACTCAAGAAGCAGAGATCTGAGGATCCTGGTTCAAAGCCAGACCAGACAGGAAAGTATGTGAGACTCTTACCTCCAATTAACCACCAAAAAAACAGAAGTGAAGCATGGCTCAAGGTGGTAGAGCACTAGCCTTGAGCAAAAGAGCTCAGGGACAGCACCCAGGCCCAGAGTTCAAGCCCTATGACTGACAAAAGAATGTGTCACAGTTTACCTTACAATTTCCCTGATACTGAGACTCTTCAGATTACTTTAAATTTTTTACTGTTGCATATTACAGAAAGGTTTTATAGACATCCATGCCTCTGTGTGTGTGTGTGTGTGAAGGCTTGAACTCTTGGTCTTTGTACTCCTGCCTGGGCTTTTGTTTTTCCTCAAGGCTGGCACTCTACCTCTTCAGCCTCATCTCTACTTCCAGCTTTTTGCTGGTTAATTAGAGATAAGAGTCTCACAGACTTCCCTGCCTAGGTTGGCTTCAAACAGAGATCCTCAGATCTCAGCCTCCTGAGTAGCTAGGATTACAGTCACCATACCCAGCTTGTCCTGCAGCTGTTGAGATGGGTGACTGGAGTCTCCTGTTCTCCAGCCCTTCCTGACTTGGTGCTCCTGCAAGTTTGATGTCCAGATGTCCCCAGGTGGCCTCAGACAAGGCCCATGAGTCACTCTGCTCCCCATCTTATCAAACAAAGGTTTATGGCTCAGCTTTTTGTAAACGCAGAAACAAAAAGCCTTGCACTGAATGACTTCTAACTCTGTGCCAGGCAAGTAGCTGATTCATAATGTTTAATCAAGCCCCAGTCTGGAGCAGGGAGACTACACTGCAGTGTGACCCTGCGCTGTAGTCTTACATGTCCCCAAGGACTCGGTGCTGCATGCGCTGGTCCTGGCTCTGGGTCTTGATCTACCTAGCAGCTTCGCAAGGCCCTGGGCACGTCCAGCCTCTCTCTGAGCCCTGCCTGTTTACTCACAGATAAGGCGGGGATGACTGGAACTCAGTAACCACCGAAGATCCGCCCAATTCTTATTCTTTTTATTTTATTTTTTTGTCGGTTGTGGGGCTTGAATCTGGGCCTGGGCACTCCCTCAGCTCTTGAGCTCAAGATAAGCACTCTACCACTTGAGCCACAGAGCCACTTCTGGTTTTCTGGTGGTTTATTGGAGATAAGAGTCTCACAGCCTTTCCTGCCCAGGCTGGCTTTGAACTGAGATCCTCAGATCTCAGCCTGCTGAGTAGCTAGGATTACAGGGGTGAGCCACTGATGCCCAGCTAATTCTTACCATTACTTTTGTTGTTGTTGGTCTGGGGGCTTGAACTCAGCTCTTC